CTGGTCGCTTCAGTGTTCTGTTTATATTGACTGCTTATATTGACTTTTACCCAAGACTGGCACGGGGTCAACATGGTTAGGAGATCCAGTGTTTCCCCTATTTTCCAACAAGAGTTTTTGTTGTCTGACTTTGAAAAATTAAGTATCTCCAAATTTGATGATCTTTTTTTTTCTATGAGCAGCAGTCACAGGCACTGATCTGCCTTGATAACTCCTTCTTTCTCTTATTTGTGCCTCATACCATTACCTCCCAATGGGCATAAGCAATTCCTCCATCCTTCTTGGTATCTCACTTATACCTGTCAGCTCAGTTGTCCTTTTGACAAATCTGGTTCTCAAAGTGCATGGTGTGGCTTAGCTTCTGGTCAATAATTATAATTATCATTTTAATTTCTCATCAGCAAATTTTTTCCCAGCTTAGTCTTGTTGATACAATCAAAAATTTACCAGCTGTTTCCTCTGGTCAGCTATCTCCATATCTTGTTAGGGTTATTGCACTTTAAGAACCCTGAGCTGGGTCTTTACATAAAGAAATTCTATTTCTCAACTTGTTTACAATTTCCATTTTTTGATCTGTGGAATATATCAGTTTTTTTACTTCTGCTTGTCTTTAAAAATTACCAAATATTATCTTTTTGATCAGTGTTTTCCTCGCTGATCTGTAGGAAGTGTTTTTGTAACTTCTACTTTAAGACAGTGGCATCACTCAATTAGTCCAGCTTTCTCCAGATGACCTCTGTGTCAATATCCCCCAAAATAACAAAGTCACTTTCTCCAAGCCATCTCTGCTCCAAAAAAAAAATAGACTTTTAAAATTAAAAGCAATCTCGCTTCTTTTCTCTCATTTTGTCTATCGTTCCAAGGTATATTTTAGTTTTAAATCTTTTCTTTCCATTTGCTAGTGTCACAGTATTTCTTTAATATTTTGTTACTAGCTTAATTTATCAAAGCTGACGATATTCAGTCACCCCCCCCCACGAGGGTGTCATGTGGCACAAGGCCTTTTTAATGTGGGCATTTCCGAGCCATTAGGCTCGGCCAAAAAATAGCCCATTGAACCCGTATAAACGGGTTCAGGGGTCGAATTTTACCTCCCCGAAGGAGACTCCGCCCTTCGGCGTAGCCTCCTTCGGGTTCCTCCCGCCCGTAGGAAGAGAGTTGAACTGAACAGTCGCTCAAGAGTTGACTGTTACTTTAGTATTGGTGAGGAGGGAAGTCTTTCAATTAAATATTCTTTGAATTATTCATTTTGCAGCTACCATGCCATTAAACAGAATTAGCAACACAGAGACAAGATGCTCATTTAGAAGTATATTAAATAAATATTTTAACAGCAGTAATTGCTCACTTATATTTTGAAATGTTTTATATTTTCAGAAAACCAGATTGTAGCCCTTAAAAAAATTTTTGTTTTCAACATCAAAGTTTCCTTCTTTTTTGTAAACTTTGCAAATTCTTGACTCATGCTTGCACTTAGTTTGCCATAAGCTTTAACAATCCCTGTCTCAATAGTATTTGGATGTAAGTGAATATAAGAAACCCAACTGAAATTGAAAACCGGCTCTCTGCACTTTTTACAAAATTTAACCCAAAGAGTAATCTGTGTTAAATGTTCCTTTTATATTCATCCATCATTTTCACTAAGATTGTGTAAAATTATCGCTTTTCTACAAAGAATTTTTAGATAATAAACATACAAGTACTGGGTAAACTTTAAAAGATCCTACCAAGATCTTTCTAACATTGAGGACTTTTGCATCAGTAATAAAGTTTTTTTTCCATTTTCTAAGCCAAATTAATTTAATAGAATTAATTTCTTTTTCACTTATTCACCTTTAGTTTTTAATGTCAGATTGTTTTTATAAAATAAGTCATAATATATACCAAATTGATATTTGTGTAATAAAACTCTCTTCCTAATTTATTCTGAGACTAATTATAGAAATGAACTTTGCTTAAACGGAAGTAAGGTCATGCCTTGGCTTACTATTGGTAACATGTAACTCAGTACAACCTGCTGCATAGACAGGTGGTTGGTGTCAAAATCAGCTCCACCACAGGATGAAAAACAAAACCTGTCAAAGGGTGGATGAGCTTAGAGGAGTTAACATGTGTGTGTATAATATATATATATATATTAGGGTCACAGATTTTGCTACCTATAATTGATTATTCTTTTCAAATGGATTTGCATAAAATGGATAAAATATTACATACATTTGATTATATTCTTGCCTGATTGGTCCTTCATTGTAACCAATGTTCCATTAAACCTGTATTTGCTATATATATATATATATATATATATATATAATATATGTGAATGCCACTGTCACACTTTTTCAACTTTACTAGGGGCCATAGCTCAACATATACCATTTTGGAATCAAGCCGATTCCATGAGCAAATAAAAATATACCAGTCCAGATCTGAAATTTTGGACTTCCAAGTTCTCATTACTGCAATTGTTTTCAGATTCTGCTATCTTGGCTTTTACTGATAAAACAATTAAAGGGACAACTCTCTAACTTTCAATAGCTCATGTTCAAATGAAAAAAATTACTGTTCTCAAGTTACAGTGTTTCAAAATTGTCCATGTTTTCAACTTTAATCCTAGATGCCATAGCCCAACATATAGCATTTTGGAATCAGGCTCACTCCATGAGCAAATTAAAAACATTCCAGACCAGATCTGGACTAGCGATCCTGAAATTTTGGATTCCCACATTTTCAATACAGCAGTTTTCTACATGATGTTTTGCCACAAATTTTTTGTATCATAACAGAAATTGGGTGCTGCTTTTGACTCCCCCCCCCATATCTAACGATATTTAAAAATCTGTTTAGAATTTTTTTTAATAAAAAATTGTCCAGTTTACAGATTTCACAACGGGTTGGAGTTTCCTTAGAATTGTAACTAGTATTATCAGAATATGTGGAGAGAGATTTTTCATTGATTCATTGATGGTGCTGAAAAGTTTTTAGCCCAACTCATTTTCCAAAATCAGTATTCTGATATTTGGTCATTAAAATACTGATTTGGGGAAGTGCATAGCATCTGAGAACTTTTCAGCACCCCTTTGTATCCACATGTGTGCATGTAGGTATATCAATAAGTCCATAGCCAAATGATGAAGAAAAAAGACATTTATTTGATGAAACATGTTTATTTTTTTTAGTTTATTTTTATTTATTTTTTTTTTTTTACATTGAAAAAATTTAATGAATATTAATTGTATCAATTGAATATTATACAGTGAAAATTCCAGATCAAAATTCAGTTAATCATTGTTTCAGGCTACAGACTTACTTATATATACAGATATAGATACTTAATGTGAATTTAAAATTGCTTCGACAATGCAAACACCTCATTACATTTTTCTGGATGTTGTCATTGTTATGAGAGTGAAATTATTTATTAGCTTATTTTTTTTTTCATAGGATCCCCAGGGCCCTATGAAAAAAAAAAAGAATGAGAGAAAGTGGCCTGCAAAAATATTTTTAAATAAATGTTCTTCAGACCATGAGATCTTTCCATCCAACTAGATACATAGTCAGCACAATTTAGATGCTTAGAAAGCAAAATGAAGTACAAGAAGAATGTTATCCAGGTTTGTTTGAAAATGATTTTCAGAGAAACCTTTGTTTGGGAACCTGATAGTACAGAGATTTTAGTTTAGGCATTTTTAAAATAATTGTTGAAAAATACTGCTTGCTTTGAATTCAGACAAATCTGGTTCATTCTGCAGTAAACAGTAATATTGAGATTTATTGTTTTGATTGGTTTTCTGTTAGCAAATCCCAAACCAAGATAAACCCTTGATAATTTGGGAAGAGCACTGTCTGTAACAAACAATAGCGTAGAACATTGTATCTTTTGAATGAAATAAAGGGTTCTTTCTGAAAGATGATATTGTATATAATATTCAGCTGATTAGAAAAGGAGATTTGAACTTCCAAGATTTTGTAATGAATTCTGCAAAGATGGAGAGATTCATTTAAATAAAATCACCAAATTCTAATAAGGATTTCATATCTCAGAACTTTAAATAAAATCAAGACTTGTTATAATTGAACATAATTTGGGATATCACTGATAGGATTTGTTAAATGTCAAAAACTTTCATTCACTCTAATGAGTGAATATTAAATCCGCCAAAACTTTCATTCACTCCAATATCATGAGTGACAGGAAATTCTGGCAGTAGGCAGGGTGGGGGGATAATAATCATGGCTCTAGTTTAGCACCAACTGTTTTTGAACTTATAAGGGAAAGTTTAGCTTTTCTTATTGTTGCTTCAACACTCTTGCTGTTATCTATTTTCTATACGAAAAAAAAACTAAATAGAGGGGGAAAAAAATTTATGACTTTCGCAAATTTTGATCTAAAATTTGTAAGAGCAATTTTCAGCACATATTTCCAATGAAAATCAGAAATTGTCTATGGTCAGAAATTAATGTAAGCATTACTGACAAAAAAAAAAAAAAGAACTATCAAGTTCAATCGTCCTTAGGATGATTAGCATTAACAATCTCCATAACAGCCATCTGAAAGGTAGAAGAGCTGATAGTGAACAATATTTATACACTAATTATGCAAATCATGGGAAAAAGGTAACTATAATTTACTTATGCTTTAAATAACCAACTTCCTAATTTTTTCAGGCAAAATTTGTTAAAGAGAGAACATTTGATTATTTCATTGACAAAACTAACAATTCATTTCTAAACTCCTTTTAACCAAATGACCTAAAAGAGACAAACCAACCAAAATATTGTTTTACAGGTAAAGAGATTTATAGAAAATGCAATTTTAAAAAATTCATCATGAAATCAATTCTAAAGTACAACACAATGCTACTAAATTCTTTAATATTAGCCTGAGAATCAATATAGAGACAACAAAATGGTTGGGCCCTGTTAAATAAATTTCTTTTTTCTGTGAAAAATTTAAATAATTCCTATTTTTTTAAAAATCATTTACTCTTTTGATTGTTTTATAAGCCTGCTGCTGGCTGCTCGAAAGATATTTCCTATAGAGTGAAAAACCTTAAAAAATATTTGTGAAATAAGTGTCTGTTCAGGATGAGAGGCCCAAATGCCAATCCCCTTTTTATCAGCAACTGCTTCGAGTTTGATTAAATTGTTCAAAATCTTTGATTGATAATCAGTCATTTCAGTCTGTTGCTCATTTTTTATTTTACAGATGCCATGTTTGACCATTTTCTCATTTAAATTTTTCTTTGTCCAGAAAAGTCCCTGAAACAAGAATAGCAGAACTTTTATTAGAAGCAGAAATCCAAGAAGAGAAAAATTCAAATGAGTTATTTTAAAAGAGAATTAAATATTCAACAATTATGAATTACTACCTCCCATGAATAAATAATCCCATATATAAATAAATAAAAATTGTTAACAAAATAGGTTCATAGAAAGTGTCATAAATATAATTTTTATGAGATTCATCTATTAATTTTTTTGCTAGCATTTAATTAGAAATGACTTTCTTTTAAAACCATTTACTAATATCTTGACTAATATCTGTAACTATGTATATATAAACAATTAATGTTTTCTGTTTTTTTTTTAATCTGTCATTATTTTTTACTATAAACATTATATATACAGTGGGCTATGATAAATTTTTAGCCACGCTTGATTACAGCAATTTTGGCTTGTGTAATAATGTCTTCTTTTTTTCAGACAATACCATGTTAGTATCAAGCTACTCTCATCTATGAATGATAGTTGACTTATATTTTGCAATGGAAGATTGTGGAATTAAGGAAATTGATGAATTTCAATGAGGGCAAATAATAGGATGGCATCAGTTTGGCAAGTCAAATAGAGAAATTGCTAGGTTTTTCCACATTAATCATCTAACGGTTAATAATATTGTCAAGAAATTTAATGAAGAAGGCCATTGTCATGTGGAACAATGTTCAGGAAGACCAAGCATCGTGTCTGAGTGAACGAAAAGGGTGCTAAAGAGGTAAGTCATCATAAACCATTGTCAGAGTGTCAAAGATGTCACCATATGCAGTGAGAAAAACTCTGAAAGAGGCTATTAAAGAAGAGTTGCAAGAAAGAAGCCCTTGATTTCAGAGGTTAACAAGAACAGGTGTATGAACTGGGCAAGAGAGCAAAGATTATGAATTTTGGCAGTTTGTAAAATGGTCAGATAAAAGTAAATTCTGCCAATATTTGGATTCAAGACAGGTTTATGTTTGGAGAAATCAGAATGAGACTTGGGACATTGAGTTTCTGCAGGTGACCGTGAAACATAGAGGGATTGCAATAATGGTGTGGGGTGCTGTGTGGTTTGGAGGGAAATCAGGGCTGATTCTTGTTGATGATCAGTTGAATGGTCCAAAATACTGTTAAATATTAGAGAAAGGACTACTACCACTATTTGAAACCAATCAGATTGACAAGAATGTCTACCTTTTTCAAGAAGATGGAGTGCTATGTCATATGAGCAAAGTCCTGGAAGGAATTGCAAGGAATCAAGTCACTGTCATGGGTAGCCCAAAATCCTGACATGAATCCATTAGAGCATGTTTGGGAGCACCTTGACCAAAAACTTTGAGAGCGTGCAACCAAAATCACGTCAGTGGCAACCCTTAAAGAAACATTGTTAAAAGATTAACAAAATATGGATCAGACAATTGTGAATAACTTTATCAAATCCATGAAAAATCAAATACAAACATTGAAACTAGCAGCTAGCAAACCTACTCCATACTAGTTCCAAATACTGTTTATTTATGTTGAGTTAGGATTACGTAATTAAATTTTGAAATTGGATGTAGTTTATTTCTCCTGGCTAAAAACTTTTCTTAGGCCACTGTAGTTGGTATATATGTTTGAGTTAACATCCCTGCCTAAGGGTGGTTTCCCTGGTGGAAAAAGGGAATAAAGGTTTGTTTTGTATCTAACCCAATGACTAAATGAAATGTCTATAGTAATTTACACATACATACATACATACACACATATATATATATATATATATATATATATAACTTTTTCAATGTCACTAGAAAAGTTTACTACAAAGTGAACTGTTCTCATGAATTTGGCATGCTGATACCAATTTTCCATGTCAATAATTGCTATGCTATGCACTCAGACTGATAGAAAATTTTATTACACTATGTTAATCTTGACAATTAATGTACAATAATTTATTTACTGTATAAACTCATGTATAAACTGACTTCATGTATAGTGCAACCCCTAAATTTTTTTGCATGAATTTTAACCCCTCCAGAAAAATTTACCTGTATATAGTGCAACCAGTTGCTAAAAATGCATGAGGTTTAATCTCTTCAAAAAAAATATCTGTGTAAAAAGGAGGGGTGTGGGGTGAACACAAATCTTTTACATACCTAGGAAGTGAAATAAATTCTACTGAAAAGGAAGTGAAAATTCACATAGCTAAAGCCTGAGCCACCTTGAATAAAGTGGATGTAATCTGAAAATCTGGTCTAACAGACAACCTCAGGCGGAGATTCTTTTGCACCACTGTAGAGGCAATTTTAATGTCTGGTGCTACGGCTTGGACATTAACTAAAACCCTTGAATCTTTAACTTGATGCAACCTACACTCAGATACTTAACATCTCTTAGAGACAACGTCTAGCTCTATGGACCCATCTCTGATATTTCTACACTCTTATGTGAACGCAGAATGCACTTTGCAGAACACTGCTGGCAAACAAAACAAGAACTTGTGAATGATCTACTGTTCTGGGCATATTGCCATAGTGCAAGACAGGTTGGTCTCCTAGCAACCACCTACATTGACCGACACAGGATGCCACCCTCATGACCTTTCAACCTAGATACAGAGTGAAGCAACAGTCGCACACCATAAGGATAATTTATAAAAAGTATAATTACATGTGAAAATTTTATTTACTAGTTATTTAATTGTTATATATGCTGTTCAAAATATTCTCCTTTTTAAAAACACATTTCAATTTTGTGCTAGCAGGATTCATTAACACATTGAAGAGTTTCCTCTGTCATTTTAATGCATTCATATTTAATTCTTTCTTTAAGTTTCTCAATATTTCTGGAGCACATTTGATAAACAAGTGATTTCAAATGGCCTCACAGAAAAAAAATCCACTGATGATTAATTAGTGTACAACTTTTGCCTCACCCTGTAGATTGATGTAAATCAAAAGAGAAAGATGAAGATAAGAAAAGTGTTTTCAGACAAACCTTTGAATAAACAACACATTCTAGTGCTCCTTCGTCTGATATCTTCAAAGGTTCAAACCATATGAATTTGTTTTTTACATTCTTTACCAGCCAAAGTCTGCCCTGAGGCCCAATTGACAAAAAAGCCAAATGAATTGGTAGACAGTCATAATCTGAAAGAAAGTAGAACAATGAAAACAATTAAGAAACAAGTTATTTATTTCAAAGTTAAATTCTAATACCATAGATAGGAGTCAGTTGTCATGACAACTATTTAGTTATTAATGCCTACAGTATCAGGTCAATGGAGAGTTGATTCTCTGATTAAAAACAGGAGTTTTTCTTGTTTGACCTAAAATTTTTATCACAATTTTAATTTTCATAATTTTTCTTGAAGTGTATTGCTCTTAAATTAGGGGGTGATTAAAACTTGGCTTGTGAGCCACATGCAGTGCTTTCAAACTTAATATGAAAATATGCTGAATGAGTTCTTTCTCATCACAGTTAATATAAAAGGGAAACAAAAATTTTAAACATTGTGACTATCATATTATTATTCTGCCTGTTCCTTAGTCATCATATATCGCCCTATCAATACCTCACAATAATGGAGTCTTCTGTTTTGATCATGAGGAGAAATGGAAAAGACATATCAAAGAGGTTTTGTTTCAGTGAGAAAAAGAAAGAAAGGAAAGATAGAGGAGGCAATAACACATGTATTTAATATCTGCTTCAGTGAAATGGAAAAAGTTGTCAATTTCAAATCTTTTCATTTGTACCCTCTTACTTCTTTAAATAATCATCTGCATTTATATTTGTTGTATCCTTAAAGGAGGTTACAAACAGACAAAGGTAGTACTCGAGTGAAAGGAACAGCAACACGGGTGTAGATGAAAGAAAGAGAGGTTTATTGTAAAAGAGAATACATGACTGAAATACAGGTTAGCAGTCTAGTAATTCCCAAAGCAAGTCACCAGTTATATCCTGTGCACACGATGTATATCTACTGATATAGTCAGTCCACAATAGGCGATAGGGAGAGTGGGACATTCCAATACAACAACACTTATGATTGTTATTGGAATATTTTATTAAATTTATCAAGCTTAAATATTTAACAATGCAATAGGGGAATTTACATGGGTATTTCATAGACATGGAACTTGCCATGAGCTTATTCAATCATTAACTTGAGAATTCATCAGAAGATTCATCAGAAAATTGAAATAGCAAAACTTGGAAATTTACACAAGTATTTCTAGTTTATATTTATTATTATATTATTATTATTAATTGAGTACATTACAGTCATCAGATGAAGAGAAAGTTCAAAGAACATGTGATCAACTTTAAGTTTCATATACACCACTCATCAGGGTCATATAAATAAAATACTGAATTCAATAGTTACCAGTATTGTGTACATAAAACTTAAAGTTGATCAAAGATAAGTCCTTTGAGCATTTCTTCACCTGTTGATTAATGTTGCACTAGTTTTCTTATTGAGCACTTTCTTTACAAAAATCTGCTTGCATTAAATTCTAGTAATTTTACATTTTGTTTGGCATTATCAATTAATATTAATATTAATGGGTACATTATTATTTATAGCTATTATTTTTATATTTGGAAATGAGCTTTCCCCATTGGTACCTGGATTTTATGAATATAAGCATGCTACTAGATTGGTGGCAAGGTCTCATCATTTTACAGTTGAAATGGCTAGATGTAACTAAGTTCTATGCTAACAGAACTTCTTTCATGTGGAATTCTCTTCTGGCTTTCTAGTCAAGTTTGATCTTCAAAATTTTAAATGCAATGTTAGTTGTTACCTTCTGTCTTAATTCTAGTTCTTTTATTGTTCTCTCTTTAATAATTTCTTTTTCTCATATTTTTTTTTTACACTCACTAACCTCTCTATCTTAGTGGATTTATTGCTTTGCTTGGGGGTGAAATGATAGATATATAATCACGTTAAGTGCTATTTTTAGTGGATACTTATATTTAAGTAGACACTTCGTTTATTTATTAAACAGTATATTTATTTTCGTCTACTGGCCTGAATATTTGAGAAATCTTATTAAAGAAAAATATGCACTCTCCGGCAGGATTCGAACATGTGTCCTCTTGGGAAGATTGAAACTGTTGTTAGATATGATGTGCCTTAACCATCTTGGCAATGAAGAAGCTTTGCCAATCAAGCAAGTTCTAAACAGTGCCATAAGCAAAATCCTACTCATCATAGATTCTTCAAAATTATCATATCCAAATGTAAACAAAGTAATTTTCTAAACAAGTAATGGATTTTTTATTGATTAATCTGACAGATTCTTTATCACTTTAAATGTTATTTTTAGTGGATACTAATATTTGAGTAGACACTTTATATATTTATTAAACAGTATATTTATTTATTCTCGTCTAAGGTATGTCGGATCTAACGAGAGTTTTCCCTCTGTAATAAAATGAGTATGTGCAAATAAAAATACCTATGTTCATATCTTGTTGCTTTCAAAAATCATCTGAAGTTTATTGCATGTGACACTTGCATTAAGTTTGGCCAACCCTTTTATAAAAACTGAGGTAAAGCTAAAGATCACCAGATATTGAAATGTTAGGATAAAACCAACAACGATGGAGATACTGTGTTGAATAATGAAAAGAATTAATCTCAGAACTTAGAAAGATAATTGTTACAATTATTTCTAAAATTCATTAGTAAATAAATCTGTAACCTTATTTTGGAAGATTTAATAGTATTCCAAGTATGTGTAAAGCAGATTTATATACCAATTTCAATATAGTGTTTAAAATTAGTCATTTTCTGGTGACATACTTTAATAAGCCTACATATTGAAATGCATGGAGAGAAAACAAAACAAGAAAAATCTCTCTGTACATTATATTTAAGATTTAATCAATAGGTAAAAATAGGTAAGATTTAATCAATAGTTAAAAGAATAAGTGAGTACTTTGGATCATATTGTTTTAGAGTTTTAGGCCAGATAAAACTTTATCAAAGAAATTTTGTCTAGTCTCCAGAATTTAAGAAATCTTGTTATCAACATTTTTTATGAACAAACTGACATAGTTTAATAAAAATTTTGTTAATAACAGTAAACATACAGAGAGATTTGAATGTCCATATAATGTTGGATATACATTTCAAGAGTTGTTCAGACTATTGTTCTCATTCTTTTGTTTTTGTTGTTACCGCAATGTTTTATCTTATAATACTAATTATTTTGTTAATGTTATAACCCTTGATATTTAAATCAAGCAATGTAAACAAACATGTGGGTAAGTCAAAAGTTATCCACACTTTTACCATGATATATCTGTGTTATGAGTGTGGATAATTTTTCACTTTCCCTCGTATTTTATTATGACGTGATCATTATTATTTTCATATTTGGTTTTAGTATTGACACTAATTTTGTGTAACACTGAATCCTTAAACTTAGTAATATTCTAATATATCTTTTCTCAGTCCACCCACATTTTCTCTGCATTATTATAATAATTATTGGAAAATACTTACTTTTAGTGAATGGTAATTGAAAAACTGGATGATGGTCTACATAAAGCTTCCCTCTCTCTTCTATTTTTCTTACGGTGCCTTGTAGTGCTACATTGTTTCTCACAAAATTGTGAGGTAATTCTTCAATTTTGGTAAATTTTTTAAACTGTTTAAAAAAAGAAAAAAAAAGCATTGGAAAGCTTTCTAAAACATTTTGATGGAGACTAAATGCAAGTTTTAATATATACAAAATCTTGGCCAAATTATTGGCACCTATGAAATTTCAAAACATAGAATTTCTCACTATTTACATTATTTGGACTATTGTCCTCTTTGTTACCATATTTATTACAACATTTCGACCATTGTATACTCCGGCCTTCTTCAGGAGTGCTAGGCTACAAAAATCTCCTGAGCCAACCAAGCATAGAAATGAATACAATATAGGAACCAGTAATAAGGAGTGCCAGAGAAAGCAATAATAACAACAAAAATTGCAATATGAGCTCTGGTAAAAAATGGTGGCTGAGACATTATGTTTAGAATACCCAGAAATTCATACACAGGTGTCCTCAAGGACACATGACACAGTGGATAAAAGCATTGGTTAGATCCAATGACAGGACCCAAAGAGTGTGAGTTCAATACCCAAGTGGAGAACTTGGAGAGGGGGAATTAACAGGAGTTAACTGATAACTGACATTCATTAAACATGGCATGTGAAACTAGAACAGTCTACCCCAGTGAAATAAAGGGTTCAGTTTGACATTCCAACCACCTGAAGAAAGCCGGAGCATACAACAGCTGAAACTTTGTAATAAATATGGCGACAAAGATGAGGACAATAGTCTGAATAATGTAAATAGTGTACATAATACCTCATCTCAGAAATATAGATAGATATAGAATTTCTGAAAAAAAAAACTAAATCTAATGAAATAACTTTGGTCTATTGACAATTCATGGTTGATAAAGTTTAAAAAAAAAAAAAACAACAGGAAGAAAAAATAGAAAAACTCAAAGATTACTGCAAGACTGGTATTGGCACCCTTTAAAAAGAGAAACAAAATGGGTAAACATGATTTTGACTCACCTGTGATAAACTATCAGTGCCCATATGACAGGAATTAGCTAATGAATAATGACTTCACTGTTTTAAAAAGCCACATATATTCTGTTCTTTTGCTATTGGATTGAATTACTATAGAAAAACCAATTTAAAAAATTCTGATGATATAAATTTGGTTAATTTCCACTTATTTTTGAAGATACAGCAAAAAATGAAAGGATGTCAATAATGGTGACCAGAACTGTACATCACCCAAATAGAAATTTTGAGGTATATGCCTCACCCAAAAATAGATATAAAAATTATTCAAATATCCAACTGAAATGATCTTGTCAGTCTTCTCTTTTTTCTTTTGTTATAAACACAAGATGACCCTGTGTCATGTAGTACCAAATATTACCCCTCCCCTGTCCCAAATACAGGATGATATTCTTACAAGGACATTTGGAGGACTACTACTTGTTGCAACTCAACCAAACCCTATTGCTATATTGTTTCAGTAAAGCTTCAAGTGTATGGTTCCAAGTTCACTAATAAATTGTTTTGAAGGCATGGCACCTAGAAGTAGAGAAGAACCAAAAATGAAGTGGGGAGATAACAATTCTGTATTCACCAACTAATAAGGGGCAGGCCTAAAATAAGCTTCCTTATTCAAACAACTTAATCATTTTGAATATAAAAACAAAAGAATTAAATTTCCAAGAATGTCTCCAATTAGGATTATTCAAAGTTAAGACTTAAATTAAATATGATTGGTATCATAGCCTATACCTTGAAAATGAATTATATATATTTAAAATTACTGTGCATAGTATTCTTATTATCCTTCTATAGAGCCACATAGTAGAATTACCAGAAGAAAATAGATGAAATGGCAATAATTCCTTTGATTATCCCAAAGAGGGATTGTTTATTTATTCTTACAAAATAGAGCATTTTTGAAATTAAATTTATTTTGTGATTTAGATGAAGTAACTTAAAGATGATTTGGACTTTATTTCTATCTAGGATTTTAGATGCTTAAGAGGCCAGAATTAAAATATCAAATTCTAATCAACAATAAAGAAAATATGTGTATAATTTTGCATTCATATTAATTTCTTTCATTGTTTTTACTACTTCCATTTTAATATAACATTTAAATCATAATTTATGCAGTAAATGTTAAGGCAAATATTATTAAAGATAACAGACGTTTGGTGTTGATTAATTTTACTGATCAACTTTTTCAAATTACAAATGACCCTTCTCAGACAAGGAGGAAATTCTATCAGAAATTGTCAAAAGTTGTTTTCAGAAGAAATATGGTCCAAGTTTTCGACTCCCTTAACTAGTAGTTAGAGACAAATGATGAGGATTGTGACATAGGCAAGGTATGATGCATGTGTTTTTTTATTTTTCATTTTTTATATTTGAGGATGTGGGCTCTTAAACTATAACTAGTTTCCATGAGTGTGTGGTTGTGGATGAGTGTCCTACATATGATGTTTTGTGTTTTTTATTTATAGAGAAACTTTCTACGAGTCGTCAAGTATATTCATACACAACGTTGGCAGATGGAAGTTTGGGATACATTATTTTTAATAACTAAGTTGTTAGTTTCAAAATTTTTGTAGTAAATTTTCAGTTATAGAAATAAATAGATAAGAAATGATATCACTTTGTTCACGTAATGGATAGAACAGATTAGTAGAAAAATTAGAAGCTGTATTCAAATTAAAAAAAAAATTTAAATTTTTAAATTCATAGTTTATTTTCACCATTCTATTTCATTAGAGAGATGTTACTTAATGTAAGACCCAATTATGGCAGATAGATGTTGGAGGAAAAAAAAATCTCTAAGGAAATCCAGACAAAAAATTCCTTAAAGATATTAGAACAGGACACAGATTTCTCTAACTAGAAGGGAGTTCAAGTAAGGTTTTAGACTTTGAAAAAAAATGATGAGTAAAATTATTGAACATTTCAGCATTATTATTACTGATTCCCTTATAAAATGAAAGATTTGATCCTTTATAAAATGAAAGATTTGACCTTATGCAGTTTGATAAAAAAAATTCCTGTAGTGGGCCTATTAATAAATAAGAATTTAATTTCATAACAACTTCACCATAATGTATTCTTCTTCTATGTGTCATATCCATTAAGTTGATTAGTGATCATGGCTCTCCACAGTGTCCTGTCATTTGTAATTCTTAATAAATTTTGTCTTTTTGTTATCTCTCCTAAACCATACACTGACATCCTTACTCAAGCTCACTAGGTAGGTTAAGCATTGTTTTCCTCTGTCTCTCTTACTTCAATCTGTCCTGTGAGTATCAAATTTTCCAAGCCCTTGTTCCTAATTGTGTTCCCTACAAATTTCAACTCTCTTCCTAATGTTAAGTAGAAGTTTCCTTTTTGTTTTCATTTTACAATATCTTAAAAATAAGCATTTGAAAGTTTGATGTTTAAAGCTAAAATTTCATAGTTGTAATTAACCAAAATAAATAAACAATGAAATAATGATACTAAAAAAAAAAAAAGAGGGAATTTTTATTATTAATAATAATTACTTCCCAGGAACTAGTCTGCACACAATTGTTTGTTAAGGTATTCAAAATTCATTGACTTGTAAAATCTATTACAAAAATTAAGCAGAGCTAAACAAGAAATAGACAAGATATCCCTATAAACATGGATAGTAAAAAAAAAAAAAAAGAACAATCTATTCCCGTAGAGTAAATAAAGGATTCAGTTCGAAATTCCTTAACGGTTATCTGGACTCTGGAGTGATAAGCACCTGTCAATGGCTGAAACATTGTTTCACAACATATTTTAACGCATCAGGATAACAATCTGAATGTATAACCCTTCATCCCAGAAATCTAGACAGAAAATTATTACAAAAATTACAATTTAAAGCAACTGATACTTACAGGCCGTAAACTTCGTATACAAAGTAAAGCACCAACTGTCCCTAGACAATACACACCATACTGAAATAGAAAGAACAATGATGTTTTTTTTTAATTTTTGACAAGAGATTGTGAATATTTCTTAAATATAGTTGACTCCTCTGTTGTCATAGAAAAGTTTTCCAAATTTGTTTCATCTCTATTGTATCTTTTATTTTTTTTCTATTATGATTTTCCTTTCTAAATTTTTTTATGCATCCCGACAAAAAGCACGTAATACTTTTCATTTTTTCTATTATTTACCAACAAAGGAGCATAAAACAGTTTGTAGTGTAAAATTTATTAAAAATCATTTTAATACCTTATACAAAAACACAGTGAACTGGTTTTCAGGTTATAAAAATCATTAAGAATTTTTTATACAAAAAAATAAAAAATCATCAAATAAATAAAATTGAAAATGTTTGTAAACTTTTAAACTGATTTTAATGATTTGATGTAATTTAAAAAAAAAAAAAACCAGTAAACTAAACAGAAACAGGTCATCGTTTTTCCTGAGCATTTTCCAGCAATAATGCAGCAAAGTCTTAGATTCTAAGAAGTGTGATTGAAAATCTTGAGTGGGTACTCCTCTTTTTTTTTTCTTGAGTATGCCAATCTTGGCATCAACCCACGATCGCTCATGTGTATGAGCTCATGATGTCAGGTTTCATAATTGAATTCTCTTGCTGATAGCCGATATTCCTTAACGAACGGTAGGCTGGCCACTCACCGGAATGGATCACAGAGCCAAGTTTATATCCAGGTTTTACTTTTATGATAGGAATCAAAGTGTCCCTATCTCTTTGTTGAACATAAAAATACTGACATCAAAAACCCATTTTTCAGACCGAGAACTCAGGGGCCATCGATACGTGTCCCATGGTTCTTATTTATAATTTCTGCATCAGAATCCTCTGAGTTCGGGGAATAATGACCAATCAACATTCAACCACATTATATTTGCGACGACCAGTAAAGCAAGGATTTTCCTGTGTGCCAATCATTTGACCCCTCGTATGCTGTTACTGTTGACTCAGTGTGATCACGCTACAAACTTCACGACACATAAACGAAACCAATCACTTATTAGGTGACTTTCCAGTAAAGTACTCATCAGGATTTCATGAACAAAATAATAAATAAATTCTAAAATTTCACACACACTCAATCTGCTATTGATCTTACAATTTAAATCGGTATAGTAGAAAACTGATTTCCTTCCCGAACTGAGCGATAAGCTTGGCACCTTTTTTCGGACATCTCAATACTGGCCGGAATTCTCCCGTTCTAGTCATCTTTCTTTCTTTTTTTTTATCTTGCATTTGTGTTCCGCATTTATGACAAAAGAAAGAGGTACATTTTCTATCTGGTCAATACGATTGTGCTCTAAAACAGACACCGCTTCCTCTACAATTGAGATTATTTTGTCTCTGGCCAGCATGGTGCTCTAGCTAGACTAGAGAGTCTGATCAACAAAATGACCTAGAATTATTTTGTCTGTGCTTATTGATTTCGTGATGGAATTACCTTATTGAATAGTAATACGAATTAGATAAATTTTAGCTTAAAATAACTAACAGTTTGAGAAATTAATTATTGCTGTAGTAGTGTAGTGTAGGCTGTGAGTGGGTTGTTTGGTTTTGACTTTTGATTGAGTGCATCGTAATTTAGGTAGGTCGCAAATGCCTGTAGATATCATTATGATTAACAGAACTTAAGTAGCATCAAGCACGTTTTCTGTTCTATTTCTTTTGCCGTTTTATCATTTATGCGTGTCTGCTATGCATGTGTTATGTAGTTTTTCTATGCACACTTAAGCCAAGCTTAGGTGTGCATAGAAAAACTACATAACACATGCATAGCAGACACGCATAAATTTTTTTCATTTAAAAGAATTAATTTAAAAAAAAAAAAAAAAAACACCTTGTGTATCGTAAATCTGTTGAGGTACCTAAACCAGTTATTTCTGATTAGTCCGGAACAGAAGAGTAAGAATTGGTGGAAGGGACAGGTTGGAAAATTAGTTCAAAATTTATTTGTTTTAGGAACAGAAAAGCGGTGAGTAGATTGGAATAAAAAGTGGAATATAAAAGCGGTGTCTTGAATACCTGGGGGAGATTGCAGACAAAAAAATAAAAATAAATAGTCGAGCACTCCCGTCTATTTCAAACGCGTGATTATGACCCTCGGCCAGGTTCAAGGTTTTTTGTATTGTATTCGTTTCTAGTGTGGACTAAGGATTTAAAAAAATGCATTTTCTTCTTTTTAGACTTTTGCAATTTAAAATTATTATGGACATTGAGTTTTGTAACGAAAAAGTACAAGAACAAGATGACAACACTTTCTTTTGGAGGTTATGAGTTTTTAACTTTTTAAGTGAAGCCATTATTTATTTATCAATCCAGTCCGTACAAACAAATGTTTTCAAATTGAAACTTCTAGGCTAACGAATAAACAAACTAGCTTTAAAAAAACAAACCTGAACAAGACGTTATTCTTTCCTGTCTATTTCTAAACAGTTAATTTAATAAATTAGGAAACCAAAAAAATTATTGCACAAGTGAACTATATTACTGACTGGGTAAAATCGCTAGAAGAATAATAAAAACTTGAAGGTTGGGCTGTCATCAACGTGTGTGTGGCAATGTCACAGATTTAAAAAAAAAATCAGTTTTAATATTTTTGACATTCCGGTGTATCAAGAGTAGATTCCTAAATTTATATATATCTTTTTCTTTTTTTTCTTTTTAATTTTGATAATAACCCCAAATATTTCTACTTTAGCTTTGTAAATATTCCCTGCAGAAATCATTATTTTACGTAGGCCAAGGGAAGTAATAAAAAGAGACAGTTGGAATAGGTGTTGTTATACAATGAAATAGTTTTTTAGTCCATTCGTTATTACAATTTAAAAAAATAAGGAATAGAAATTTAAAAAATATTTTTTAAAAAAGCCTTCGTACTTTGAAGTATTTTAAAGAGTCATAAGGTCCACAATCAACATTATTTATTATATGCCAACACATCGGATTCATTAATTTATTTTTAATTCTATTAAAAAAAAAAAATCTTACATTTTTTTTCTTCATTAGATCTCCCATTTAGATCATGTTTTTTTGAAAAGTAACATCATAAAGGCAAGACATCTTCATTTATGTAAGAGACAAAAGATGAATTAATTTAAAAAGCTCTCGACAAAATTATTCATTATCCTGTCGTTTTTTAAACGAAAATATATGCTAAATACCAGTCTTAAGAAAATTAAGATAATCTTACCTTTATCTCGCGTATATGTGAGTCTATGTAATTAAATAAATCCGATTTAGCAGCCACAACCTTTTTTTGAATATCATTAGACATTATTGATTGCTGGCGATCGGCAGCGGACGATCAAAAATAAAGGCCGACCACTACAAAAAGTTTCATCTGCAAGGGGAATAACTCTAGTACTTAAAATGAATTTCCGTTAAATTCCACTCCTAAAATGAAATCTGTATATACAAGTTAACAAATACTTTGTTTTAATTTCTGTTGTAATATTTCAGATACAAAAATAGAAGATAACATGTTAAAATTAATAAGTAGAAGGAAAATATAATTAGCTGAAAAGAATTCTTAAAATTAAAAAAATATTGTAAATAAAATAATATATATAACTTAGATCTTAATATGTTCTTAAATTAAAAATGATAATAAATTGATTATCACCGATTGTATAAAAATATATATATATATATTATTTCACCCAAAGCAAGGCAATAATGGGACAAGATGTTGCTGGGAATGAAAGAGAATAAGAATTTAAAGATATATACTTAAAGAAGAAAGCTAACAGTTTCACTCAAAATTTATCAGCGAATTTGGAACAGTAAAAAATTAGAAATTTGATGAAATTAGTCAAATAACAATATTATTAAAATCACCTGAGGCAATTAAGACTTGCTGTCACTTTATCTCAAGTGAAAAACTTACTAGTGTAAAAATGTAGCCAGTACAAAAAAAAAGTAAATTTTAAAAAATTCTATCTGCAATTCTCTGCTCAAAAATAACAAAAAACTTCTTTTTTTTTTTTTTTTCAAAAGAACAATCACAGGCAATGAAAAATGGATTTTTACACCAATTTGGAGTGAAAAAGATCCTGGGGAAAAGAAAATTAATCACTCCAAAAGCCAGTTTGCATCCAAAGAAGGTGATGCTGTGTATCTGATGGTATTGGAAGAGCATTGTGTGTTATGAGCTCCTTCTAAAAAATCAAACATTAAATTCAGACAAATACTGTTCCCAATTTGAATGATTAAGACAACAATCAATGAAAATTGTCCAGAATTGACCAATGATCCATATTCATATTCCAACACAATAAGACAGGTCCTGAATGTTAGAAAAACTAGGAAAAAATACCCTTCCCAGTTATATATTGATATGTCCTGGAAAGGGATATATTTGTTCGAAGTAGCAAAGTGGTTGTTGACTACTGTAACCAGGTAGGACAATCTAGCAGGTAACCATAATGGACTGGTCCTCATCGTAGTGGTAGGCAATAGGTGTAGCACCTGTACCTCCACATCAGTCTGTATTTATAGCTGACACCAGCCAATCATATTACTGTGAGGGGGAACCTAGGTGTATGCATATTCATTACATCATATATATATATTCACCCACTTGCTGTTGCTTCTCAAAGACAGTTGCAACTGAAGAAAATTATACTGAGATGTGCTAGCCCTGGAGAACAGCTGCCTGAGGCTGCACTCTCTCATTGCATCAGAGAGAGGGATTAGTGCTTAAGCTGAAGCCAGTGCATCCAACGGTTGTGGGGTTCAGGGAATTTTTGTTCCTTGCCCTGGTGTACATGCTCAGGCTCCCCACATTAAGCCGACCTTGTGTCACAACATGACTTCGTTGGCAGGGGGGGGTGAGTAAATACCAAATTACTATAAAGTAGAGTTGATGCTTTTTACTCTCAGAATTCATGGGAGAATTGAGCTCCAATTTTGCATTTATTCATATAGATTCCATAATATAGGTTTTACTTAATTAGCTATTATGTTTCTCTAACTTGAAGAGTTAGAGAAACATAATAGCTAATTATGTTGAATAATAATGTTGAATGTATAACTAATTCTAATTTCTATTTTCCCATCGTTACACTATATTAATTTTATCTTATAAATTGTCCCCTGTTCTATCACCCATGAAATAAAAATAATTGTTTATATGGAAAATAAGGATCTACGTACATCAAATTGTCTTTAAATTAATTGGCAGCAGAAGAATTATCGTTGAACTTTTAAAAGGTAAGCTAAAACATTAATTCAATACTTAAATGCAGTGATCAATTTTGAGTTCTTCTGTAGCTTATTGATATCTATCACATATACTCCTCACTAGCTATTTGATGATGGGCAAACCAAATTTTAAAAAAATTTTTAAATTTTAAGCTAGCTGCAATTTTGGATACAAAAGGAAAAATAAGAGTTACTCCCCTTGAACCATGAAAGCCATGATAATGGCTAGTATAATATATTAATATATATTTTTAACCTCGCATAATCTGGTAACCCTGGATTTGAGCTCAACAAAAATCATTCCCTGCACCTAACATTTCTAGGGCTTTTGAATGAGCTATGAATCATTGAAATCAAACCAGTGGGAGTGGAGGAGTTGCTTGGAAACATACAAACACACATATGTTGTACTTTATATATAAGATAGCAAAATAGATTTGACAGTGAATTAGTGCATTATCTACAAAAATCAAGTAACATAAGACTATCAGTTTCATCTGAGATGTATTCAAGAGCCATTCAGGATTGTAATCATAAACTTTGTCCAGAATAGCAATTTCTCCATCAGCACAACTCAGCTCAGCTTCTAATGAAATTCAAAGAAAGAATGATGGACCAGACAGAAAATGAGTATTAACTGAAAGATAAAAAGATCAAATTGTTCTGTGAATAGCTACAAGAGAAGCAATAAAATATTAAATGATTAACACCAGATAAGTATTGAGCATTCAGTTCACTGTAACTCAAAAACTAATGCACATAATCATATGAAATTTTCTTTCTTTCGATGTGATTGGTCAAAATTCAAATTTTGTTGGAGTCTCTCTTTCCAGTTTAGTAAGCTCCTAAGTGGCCAATAAAATGTAGCCTAAAAACTCAAGTTTGACAAATGATACTGCTATTAATAATAATCAGTTTGTATAAAGATTAAGGTTTTTTTTCTCTGTATTAATTCAAATTTTTGATCTTTTGTAAGTTGTTAACATATTTTTTGCAAAGTGAATTCTTTAAAGTATACAGAAAAATTCAACTTTTGCAATATAAGCTGAGATGAAATTGATTTTACCTTGTTTTATTTTATCTGAAGTGTTTCTGAATGTAATCAGAAATGTCTGGAGAATCTACCTTTTTTTACCCTCTAATCCACTGTGAGCTCAACACATAAAAGGATTGGCAGTAAAATATATTCAGAACATATCCTTTTGTACCACCCTCTTAGAAAAGTAGATGCCCATGCTGATATCAGGATTCTTCAGTTCTTATTGTGTGCATTCTATACCTGTGGTGATAGTGTTTGTGAAGAAAAAATTTAAAAATCTATATAAATTAAGATTTGGTAAAATAAGCTAATTAGACAGATTCAAATTATAATGGACACATTATTAGATAACATATTCTATTAATTAATCAATTTCATACAAAATAAAAAAAATCTTTTTATTAAGAATTATTAAGTGGATACCAACTTAAAATAAAATTTAATTAACTTATAATTTTGGAACAAAGATAAAATTTACACAGCATTAAAATGTATATAAAATTATTCATGTGCAAAGTTTCAACTTTTAAGCATGTATAGTTATTAAGTTATTAGAAATTTTATGCTCCTCAAGTAGCACACATTCAAATAGTCAAGCATTTTCTGTGAAATATTTGGACATATTCTTGTGTTTTATACCACATCCACACATCAGGTATAAATAAAAGACCAATAACCAAGTAGCCAGTCTGATTAAGAGACCGATTAATAATCTGAGTAAAAGTCCGAGTCAAAATAGTAAAAGGAGTAATCAAAAAAATCTTCCTGTGTCTGGTCTATTTACTGTCACACAAAAACTGTCTTTAAAGAAGAAACTTAACTAAAAAAAGAAACAAGTATTGTAAGACATCTTAACAATTTCTAGAATATAAAAATTTCGGATTCAGATTTTATTTGTGTTTTTCTTTTCTTTTTCTTTTTTTTTTTTTTTTGCCAACAAGTTGAATATTTTTAAAAGCTCAAATCTACATGGCCTTATGCAGAAATTAACAAATTTTCTTAGATTTTTTCCTCTTTACTGTTTCTTTAACTCTTCATGGTGTTTACTTAGTAATTACTTTTTAACTGGTTACAAAGAGACATAGTTTAATTTTTAATAGTTTTTACACAATCCAAATATTGAAATATATCAGCCTATGTTGACACATTTTTGTAATGCCTGTTTATAGGAGACACTTTGTAAATCACAGATACAATAATAGTAACACCTTCAAACAATACTTGGTCAGATGCCATTAATTTCCATATATATACTTTTCCTTAACCCATCACATGGTCTAATTATTTCAAGAAGAGGTTGACTGTGTTTGTACTCTGGCAATCCATGTTCAACCCCAAGTGTCAGCAGTGACACTTTATTTCTATATGACACCTCCCCTTTGAGATGACTTCCTCTGGAGTCTATATTTCTTCAACTTCAGTTCAATATTTAGAAATTCTGTTGCTATTCTTTTTCTCTTACCATAAAACCTTGGTTCAACAATTTCTGATGGTGCAGGTATATCAAAGTGTCATACAAAATTTCGGAGACTTTTTAAATCAGTGAATCTGCATTTTAACTGATTAAGATGTTGCTTATGTTCCCACCATTGTCCCTGTACCATGTATGTCATTTTGCCAATCTGTTTTTTATAACGCCATCTTCCCAGAATTCTTTTCTACATTGATACATTTTAAAAAGTAACTTATCTCCAGGTTTGAAGTATTTACTAATATTGTCATTTCTTGATGCTCTTGCCTTATATTCTGGTAATAATTTATTAAAAATGGACTTAATCTTCCTGGCAAACATCAACTCTGCAGGTGACATTCCAGACACGGTGTTCGGGTTTGGTATTATTCTAAAAACACTCAGAAATTGTATCATTACTTCATCTGACTCCTCTCCCTCTGACATTTTTAATGTCCTTTTAAACATGTTGACAAGCTGTTCCACTTGTCCATTTGAACTTGAGTGAAAAGGAGGAGTTGTAATATGTTCTATTGCTAATGATTTATAAAAAAACCTTAAATTCACTAGACATGAATTGTGT